GCCGCTACTTCCACTGAGTGATGCGCGCACTTCCATTTGAAAAATTTCAGCATCGCATTTGTTCTACTTCAATTTTCTTCTGCTTCAGTTTGGTTCTACTTCAGCTTTGTTCTGGTGTTCTTTTTCCTATCGTGCGGCATTTGTTCGTATGACAAAACCTTTCGTGAGTGTAGCAGTTGCTTTGTTATGGGAGTGAAGGAGAGGTACAGTGCTTAAAATGAGAGCCGATGGCTTGCAAGCGATTTATGTAGTGCTTGTGCAGCTGTTTAATACATACCTATGTATATATACCGAACAAATACTTTCAAAGACTCACCGACATAGACAAATCTTGATAATTTTATGAAGAGATGAAATTACGATACATGAAATCAGCAACGTGAATACAAAACCGCAACACGTGATATTAATGGTTATAAGGTTTAAATAATTAAATTTAAATAGGTATATATGGGAGGTTTATAAAGATTAATCGATTATACCTTTTGCCTTTCCATCGCTTATATAAATAATTTATCCTGCTTTTAAAAAATAGCTTTTTCACATTTATTGGAAGATGTGTTTCATGGCTGTGGGATAATAATTTTTCAAAGACGTTGGTGGTACAAGAAACTACTTCGCCATTAAATCTTTGAAATATCCAACTTATTCAGCCTAACCTGTTCCGCTGGTGAATGAAACAATCGGACGCCTTCGTAAGTCCACGTTTTTTTGCAAGTTACACGGCTTGGCTTAGGCATTATTAATTTTTTATTCACAAATAAATTATATAGTATTTTTTCACAAAAATTCAAACGAAAACTTTTAGAAAAAAACAAATTTTCCACAAAAGTTCAAACGGAAAGTTTTAGAAAAAAACAATGTCGCAAGCAAATAATAAATGGCCATATTGCCCCCAAAATATATGTAAATACTTCCAAAGAAGCAACACATAAAACGAAATATAAGGCAGTCGAATGTCAGAAAATGAACAGAGAATGCTGCCTTATTACTTACTTCACCTGTTTATTGCGCCATGGGTTTTACCTTATAATGTTTTTATCATGGCAACAATCGCCTGGTGCAAACGGCCTTTCAACTAATCTCCTTCAATGAAGTTGGTCGGCTGCCTACATCACAGTATAGACAGTAGCCAACCTTTTTGGGTTGTTGTTGTAGTAATCGGTGTTGTTGTAGCCTTATTCACCTTTGAGGAAGACAGTGGGTTGTGTGCTGCTATTTAATGGCCTTCCTCAGACTTTTTCTTAGATTTCAGGGTTGTGTGCTGCATTATTATTTGATAAATAATTTTAAGCATTTGGCAAATCGTTATTTTATTGAAAGAAAATTATAAATGGTGTTGAAAAACCAAACAAATGCTCTTGCGAAAGCTCTATTTTTGTGTGTTGTTAAAATTTATACATGGCGATATTGAAGGTAATACAAGCAATGTATTCATTTGTGGATTTGATGTTACTTGAGAATTTAGGCAACGTGCAAGCTGCCAGGTTCTGTTATCAATATAACTAACACAAGCTTTTCCGTGTGGTTGCCTTTATATAAATAGAATAAACAAATATTCGCAAATAAATTTGATTTATTTAATAACTGAAAATAAACGTATGCTTTTTGCTCTTTTCCAGACTCCATTTTTATTTTGACTCTTTATTACCGCTATCAACTTTGTATGTATACATATTTACAAGCTGTCAAAATTTCGCTTAGTCACACAAGCTAGGTAAAAATTGTGGCGTTCGTATTCACAATGAGTAATCTCAAAATTTTTGTTTGATCTTTCCAAATTTTCTCTTTTTTATCAGTTGGCAAAGGCCAACCTTTTTGGGTTGTTGGCAGCGTTGAGATAGTAATTCCATGTCAATTAGTAGAAAAGTTATATGGCGAAAAAACTTATGGTGCGAAAATTTTACATTTCTGCTGTGCCAATTCGCTTCTTTTTATTGCTGGAAATTTTTGGCACTTGCTCTGGTGCAAAAGAAGTTGAGCAATTAAAATGCAGAAATTATACAAAAAATACTTGTCTTTACTGACTTTGATTCTTCTAGAACTAAAAGCCATGCATTTATTAGACGTCTTAGTAATAACATTAGAACAAAAAAATGGTGACAGGTAATAAGATCAACGGAAATAAGGTCAAATTATTTCTCACCCTGGGGCGAAATAAAGTCAATTGACATTATTACCTTTTTAAAAACGAAATAAAATCAATTGACATTATTTCTCTTTCAAACATCAAATTTGCTTAGCCACGTCACGCTACGCCGGGGCACCCGGCCCCCCCTTCCCCGTCTCCCGCCGTGCTGTAACGCAGGTAGATTTATTTTTTGTATACGTTGAAATAAAATTTTTATATATTTTAAACATCGAGGGCTTATATTCAATAATACCCTCTATCTGCACACTTTTCACAAAGATGAGATTCTGATATAAAAATCCACCCAAGCTTTAACTGTCATCGGTGATATTAATGCTACCTTATATAACGACAGGTAATAAGTCCCAGGTGGTTTCTAAAATCACAAATTAGTTTTTGTGCAAATTGCAGATAGAGGGTATTAATGAATTCAAGCCCTCGATATTTGACATTTTTATATTTGTAAGTTATTGGAAGCAGGGATGCCAACTTGGCTCAAACCGTGCCATTTGTCCCTATTTTACTTCAAATGGCACTTAATTTTACAATTTGGCACAAAGTGCCAAAATGGCACTTTTGTAAAAAAAAATAACATTTCAATACTGTACGCGATTAAGTGGCAACGACCAGCTTTATCGTCTGCACTCTGCACGAACCTTTAGTGTCATTCGCGGCTGCACTCTGAACTAGTCTTAAGAGTCGTTCGATTATTTATGTTTTGCATACATACATACATACTTCCATCTTTATATGTAATATTCTTGAACCTGTAAACATCATAAAATCTAACGTTACCAAGTCACGCTATTGTACCGTTTGTAGCTTTCTATAAAAGACGAATTTGCAAATAAATAAGTGCCATTATATTCCCGCTGGTCGGTGTGTACAAACATAATCGGTTTTCAGTTGCTTTTATCGTACATATTTTTGGTGCCTCCTGTGAGGACTGAAAGCGCGGTTTTTTATTGCCAAAGTTTCGTATAATCTACGCTGTAAAATAAAACTAGTTTACCTTCGCGATTCTAACCGCGGAACTATGGCTGCAATGAATATTAGAAGAGCGGCGAGGAGTTCTATACTACGCATCAGGGCGGAGGTGGAAACCGAAGGTTATACCGCGGATGAGGTGCACGTGGAGCACACCATCAGCATTCTAACCGGGCACTATAATCGCTTCATGGACAATCATATCGCGCTAGTGGCCGGAGCCACTGACGAAGAATTGGACGCTCATGAGGAGCTACTAGCGCAAGTGGAGGTGGCTTATGGTAGTGCTGTCACCAAATTGCAACGCATGCGTGCTGGCTCAAATGCCACTGCGCACTCTGCATCTAGCCGGTGCCAAGGTGAACACCGATTAGATCCATTCAAACTCCCCACGTTCGATGGTCGACAGGAAAACTGGTTGGTGTTTAAGGACATCTTCGAGTCGATGGTACATAATCGGACTGATCTTGACGACACTTACAAAATCAGCCGGCTAAGGCAGTGCGTCGATGCGCAAGCGGTGTCAATGGTTGGCGGCGTATACACTGGAGGCTACGACCAACTATGGGCGGAATTGAAGAGGAGGTACGACAATCCCAGGCGTTTGGTTGAGTCACATGTGAATCGGTTGTTGGACTTGCCTGAACAACCAGCACTTACGCAACGCAATGTTCGGAATGTAATCGATGTAGTACGCAGTACCTTACGTGCACTTAACGTGATGGGCTTGGCCACCGACCATTGGGACGCCATCGTTTATCCTATTGTTCTCCGTAAATTGCCAACATCGGCGGTCGCGCACCGTTCGGAGTCATTCAGACACTCTGTCGCAGCTGCAGAAAATGCTTGAGGAGATTGAGACCTATGCTGACACTTTAAGGAGCAGCTCTACCGTACCGCCGAGGCACTCGGCAACATTTCGTACCGCACAGTCACATATGGTGGTGCCCAAATCTTCAAGCGCCAACATGAGATCAGCAATGACCTGCCCACGATGCGCCGAGCCACATCGTATATCAAGATGCCCTCAATTTCGAGGATTAAGTCTGGATCAACGTTTGCACTGGGTACGCCAAGCAACGTTATGCTTCAACTGCTTGGGACCAGGTCACTCGGCCCGTGAGTGTAACTCGGGGAATTGCAACAACTGTAAGCAGAAACACAACACCTTGCTTTGTAAGGCAGCTCCGCAAGGCGAGCGGTTACCTACAAACACCAGCTCAGTAGCGCGACCAGTGTCCGTACTCGAGCAACAATCGCCATCAACCAGCGCTACTGCGCTTCAGGTCCTGCCCCGTCTGGATGCTGTCCAGTCTCTCCTGGCGCAATCCGAAGGAATCGTCCTACTAGCCACTGCCAAGGCGCCCATCGTAAATGGATGTGGAGAGGAAGTATCGTGTCGTCTCTTGTGTGACATGGGTTCACAGGTAAGCTTCATTACGGAGCCATTTTTTAAGCGTTTGAATCTCCACAGAAGGCGTTACACATTGACGGTAGAAGGTATTGGTTCGCAGAGGGTAACTTCTTCGCGCGGACAGACGACTCTGGTGATGCGATCATATCACGATGCAGAATTTGAGTGCCGTTTGGATGCGCACATTTTGCCTAGTATAACTTCGACGATTCCCGCATCTCCAATTGACACGAGCGGGTACAAACACTTACATAACATACCACTGGCTGATCCGACATTTCACACGCCAGGAAGCATCGATGTACGTATTGGAGCGGACATCATGGGCATGCTTCTCCTGGGTGAAACTATCACTGGTGGGCCTAAGCAGCCGTGCGCTCTCCATACGCGTCTCGGTTGGGTCATATGCGGACCTACATCGCCACGCTGTGCGTCACTCCCCGCCTTGGGCACACCGACCGAATGTGTTACCGAGGAGGAGCGACTCGATGAGATTCTTCAACGCTTCTGGGAACTGGAGGAGGTTCCTCGCCCCAAAACGACCGATGACATTTGCGAGGAGATTTTCCACCGAACCGTATCGCGCAAGAGCAATGGCCGATACATAGTGCAGATCCCATTTTCTCCGGATGCGCCTGCACTCGGTGATTCCTACGGCAAGGCGCTGGGCCACTTTTTCAACCTTGAGAGGCGTCTGAGGGGTGATGATGACTTGCGCCAGAAGTATGTTCAGTTTATGCGCGAGTACGAGACGCTCGGCCACATGGAGAAGATCACGCTACAACGAGATGATCCATCCCACGCCTACTTTATACGGCACCATGCTGTCACCGCGAAATTCCGTGTGGTCTTCAACGCTTCGGCGAAGAGCAGCAATGGCGTCTCCTTGAACGACACTCAGCTGGTTGGGCCGGCAGTTCAAGATCCACTAGTTGACATCCTCTTACGCTTTCGTCGATTCCGCGTAGCTGTCACGGCTGACATCGAGAAGATGTTCCGGCAAATCGAAGTGGACTCCAGGCATCGATGTTGGCAGCAGATCCTCTGGTGCGAAAGCCCTAATGACCCGCTCCGTGCGTATCAACTGAAGACTCTCACCTACGGTATGGCTTGCAGCCCTTATAACGCTGCTCGTGTTCTGAACCAGTGCGCCATTGACAACCAAATCGTGGTTCCTGATGCTAATCGAGCTGCAGCTGCACGGGACAGTATCTTACGCAACTTTTATATGGAGGATCTCCTGGATAGCGCTGACACGCCAATTGAAGCAATCACGTTAGCGCGAGTCGTTTCCACAATATTGTAACAAGGCCACTTTCGACTTTGCAAGTGGAAATCCAACGATGTGGACATGCTCTCGGCGACATCTGGTTCAGAGGCATCCAGCTGCACACTTGGCTTAGGCGACACTGATGCCAAGGTTCTGGGGCTTTACTGGGGACCAGTCAATGATGTGATTCTTTTTCGGGTAACGCTGCCAGATGCTAACCCTATCCCTACCAAACGTCAGGTATTGAGTGAAGTGGCCAGAATCTTCTCTTGGACTTCTGGTTCCAGTAACAGTGACCGCTAAGATGATGATGCAGTTAACATGGGCTGCCAAGATAGATTGGGATACGCCCTTACCACCAGAGCTACGCGAGAAGTGGCTCAAGTTCCGAGGCAGCCTTCCAGCTATTAGCGCTTTCCGCATACCACGATGGATCGGAATGACCAAGTCAGCCGCTACCACGCTCCATGGGTTTTGCGATGCCAGCGAACGGGCGTACGCCGCTGTCATATATTCACGAAGCATCGAACCCGATGGACAGGTGAGAGTGAGACTCGTAGCTGCACGAACTAAGGTTAGTCCACTTAAGGCAATCACCATTCCGAGGCTGGAATTGTGCGCCGCTCACTTGCTTGTAACTTCTATGGTGAGTGTACGCGAGGCTCTTCAACTCAGCAAAGATCAATGCACCTATTGGAGCGATTCCAGCATAGCCCTTGCTTGGATACGCAAACCACCAAACATTTTGATGCAGTATGTCTCCAATCGAGTGGCTTACGTCCAAAGGAACTCCAATATCAGATTGGCATCACATAAGCAGCAAAGACAATCCTGCCGACTGTGCCAGTCGCGGCATGACACCAGCGGCTCTTCACAATTTTTCCTTATGGTGGAATGGGCCAGGCAACATGTACGAAGACAATCTTATACCAAGTGAGATCCCACTTCTCGGCGACGGCGAGCAGCAAGTGCACGATGCCGAACTGAGGCCACTTCGAACCCATATCTGCACTCTGACCATCCCTAAGATACAAGTCCGGCGGTGTAATGGGTCACTTACCACATTCATTCCATTAGTGGAACGCTTCAGCACTTTACAGCGAGTTTTGCATACCACAGTCTATGTGCTACGGTTTCTTCCAGCGGGCAGACCCTACTGTCGTACGCCAGTTATAACAGCAGATGAAACTCAGCAAGCCTTTGAAATTCTTGTTCGAGAAGCGCAAGGTAATTATTACAATTCAGAAATTAATCATTTGCGAGCTTCTTCCAGCGTTGGTGCTTCGAGTAAGTTGCTCTCTGTGAACCCTATCCAGGATGACGCTGGTGTGTTAAGGGTTGGCGTCTGACTGAGGAACGCAGACCTCACGTATGAGCAGCGCCATCCGATCATCCTCCCTAGAGAATGTGTCCTAGCTACGCTTCTGGTCCGCCACGCACACAGGATTACAATGCACGGCGGCATTAGGGAGATGCTACAGTACCTCCGACGGGATCTCTGGATTGTGCACGCTAGAGTCTTGGTCAAGCGGTGCCTACATCAGTGTAAGACCTGCAAGTTACACCAAAGAGCAATGCAACAACAACAAATGGCTGATCTACCTCGCTCTCGAGTAATGGTTGCGCCTCCCTTTTCCAACGCTGGGTTGGATTACGCCGGACCATTCCTCGTCCGCCATGGTGGTAAACGTTCTACCACCACCACCAAGACGTATGCTGCGATCTTCATATGCATGTGTACAAAGGCAGTGCACATAGAACTGGCGGAAGACCTGAGCACCCGAGCATTTCTGGACGTCTTTGATCGATTTGTGAGTCGTAGAGGATATTACACCAATCTCTATAGCGACAATGGCACCCAATTTGTGGGGGCAAACCGTCAACTTCAAACTGACCTGGTCGACTGGCACAACACTTATTCCAAGCAACAACTGTCTGATGCAGGCGTCCGCTGGCACTTCATAACTCCTTCCGCTTCTCATCAAGGAGGCTGCAGTGCGTTCGGCCAAGAAGCATCTCAAGCGCGTCATTGGTGACGCTGTTCTCCCGTTCATCCAACTCAGTACCCTGCTTGTACGCATTGAGGCATGTCTCAACTCGAGACCCATCATCGCTCTTCTTGACGATCCCGAAGGCGGCGTCGCGCTATCACCCGGAGACTTCCTCATCGGCCGCCCATTGAATTCTCGTCCAGAGGCGACCGTTCCGGAAGCTCCGGACAATCGGCTAAAGTACTACCAACGACTACAACGCATGTTGCAACATTTTTGGCACCGATGGAAGGAGGAATACTTGGTCCAGCTGCAGGCTCGGAGCAAGTGGGCCCGACCTACGCCAAATCTACAAGTTGGTGACGTTGTGGCCATCCAGCAAGAGCAGCTTCCTCCATCTCGATGGCGCATCGGTCGCATTAACAGCAGTGCATCCGGGGAGTGACGGGCTGGTGCGCGTAGTCACCATCGAATCCTGCGCATTCGAAAGAGGCTTCTGTCGCAGACATTTGTGTCAGCGCCCATTCCAACGAGTATGCCGTATCCTTCAAGCCCACGAAGGCATTCTAAGTCCGGAGGACTTAGCCGGGGAGGATGTACGCGATTAAGTGGCAACGACCAGCTTTATCGTCTGCACTCTGCACGAACCTTTAGTGTCATTCGCTGCTGCACTCTGAACTAGCCTTAAGTGTCGTTCGATTATTTATGTTTTGCATACATACATACATACTTCCATCTTTATATATAATATTCTTGAACCTGTAAACATCATAAAATCTAACGTTAACAAGTCACGCTATTGTACCGTTTGTAGCTTTCTATAAAAGACGAATTTGCAAATAAATAAGTGCCATTATATTCCCGCTGGTCGGTGTGTACAAACATAATCGGTTTTCAGTTGCTTTTATCGTACAAATACATTTTTGTGAAATTCTTTGCTTGCACTTCTTTTTCTCAACTAAAATTTTCTAATTTATAAAGGCTATTCAATGTAGCTTTATTTTATTGCTAAATGTGAATGATTAAAAGGAATGACACCTTTTTTGGCACTTTTATTTTTCTATTTGGCACATTTTGGCACTTCTTTATCCTCAATATGGCACCTCATCACTAAGGCAGCCCTGATTGGAAGATTTCTGCTGTGTTTTGGGGCAACAACTTGTCTGCAGTAAAAATGCATATAATTTGTGTTTCAAAAGTGTGTGAAAACCAATCCATTAACTTATATGATCTCGGTTCCGATATTAAATAATCAATAATTGTTTATACCCGCATTTTGGCACATTGGCTCGTTAAATGTGCCATCTAATAAATAGTGTCGTCGTTCTCCTTAGCTGCTTTTAAATGACTGCTGGCGGAGACATAAATACAGTGTAACAAAATTCTTTTTCTAGAATTGTTTCCTTACAGAAAGGTTGGGTACCCCGCGCGACCGGCGCGCACACCGCGTCACGCTACGCCGTGGGCCCCCCGGCCCCCCTCCCCGTCTCCCGACGTGCTGTAGCGCAGGTAGATTTATTTTTTGTATACGTTGAAATAAAATTTTTATATATTTTAAACATCGAGGGCTTATATTCAATAATACCCCCTATCTGCACACTTTTCACAAAGATGAGATTCTGATATAAAAATCCACCTAAGCTTTAACTGTCATCAGTGATATTAATGCTACCTTATATAATGACCGGTAATAAGTCCCAGATGGTTTCTAAAATCAGAAATTAGTTTTTGTGCAAATTGCAGATAGAGGGTATTAATGAATTCAAGCCCTCGATATTTCACATTTTTATATTTGTAAGTTATTGGAAGCAGGGATGCCAACTTGGCTCAAACCGTGCCATTTGTTCCTATTTTATTTCAAATGGCACTTAATTTTTCAATTTGGCACAAAATGCCAAAATGGCACTTTTGTAAAAAAATAACATTTCAATACATTTTTGTGAAATCCTTTGCGTGCACTTCTTTTTCTCAACTAAAATTTTCTAATTTATAAAGGCTATTCAACTGGTTTATCTTATTTTATCATTGCACTTTTGTTTTGAAAATAAGGCTTTATTTTATTGCTAAATGTGAATGATTAAAAGGAATGACACCTTTTTTGGCAGTTTTATTTTTCTATTTGGCACATTTTGGCACTTTTTTTATCCTCAATATGGCACCTCAAAACTAAGGAGAGTTGGCAGCCCTGATTGGAAGATTTCTGCTGTGTTTTGAGGCAACAACTTGTCTGCAGTAAAAAAGCATATAATTTGTGTTTCAAAAGTGTGTGAAAACCAATCCATTAACTTATATGATCTCGGTTCCGATATTAAATAATCAATAATTGTTTATACCCGCATTTTGGCACATTGGCTCGTTAAATGTGCCATCTAATAAATAGTGTCGTCGTTCTCCTTAGCTGCTTTTAAATGACTGCTGGCGGAGACATAAATACAGTGTAAGAAAATTTTTTTGCTAGAATTGTTTCCTTATAGAAAGGTTGGGTTCTTTTCCACCTTAGACATTCCGAATTCGTTCAAAATATGCTAATTTAAAACACAGAACTCTTTCAGTGCTCCTCCGGGGTTTTTGGACATGTACTGTTTCTTCAATTTAATAGTGTTCGCTTTATTTTTGTAGAAACGAAAAATGTTTTGCATGTTATGGATCATTTCTCCACTCTTTCTTCAAATATTTCTCGTATTGCAGCTGTACGCAGGCGTTTAGTTTTTTGCATCGTGTTTTTACATATTCGTAATTTATATTCTTTTTTTTAATAGAATCAATTGGAGGTAGTTCATGATTGTGTGTGGATTAATATCACAACACAGAGGATTTAGCAAAATCCTTTTTCATCTATTAAAAAACAACACTTACGGGCGTCAATGACTTTATTTCCAAATTTTTGTTGACTTTATTTCGCTTTTGAAAAGGTAATAATGTCAATTGACCTTATTTCCATTGACCTTATTACCTGTCACCGGCTGAACACCTGTTGCAGAGAACACGTTTCTGCGTAGGCGGCCTTCGGCCGCACTTAGGGAATATAACCCTCACTAAGTAGAC